ACGGAACGGTAGCGCAATTGTAAGGGCAATCCGCTATTGATGGTAACACATTTCCCAAGAGTGTTTGTTTAGGCTCTTAATGGAATCTACTTAACGCTCTGACAGTTAGATAAAACTACAGGGTTTTACGTAAGACGAATTAATTATTTTTATACAAACACCAAATATAATATTGTTTTCAACGTGAATGTATGAAAACATGTCTGGAGATTTGGCATAGTTTGTAAAAGGTTTGATAGATTTTAATGCAATACTATAAGCTACATAACCACAATATAAACGATGTTTATACTATTAAACATTTTCGATTTTTTTTTACTTTAATGGCGTTGTTTGGCGACTTTGTTACGTCTTGTTTTATAATTTAATTTCAAACTTTTTTTAGTTAACTTTGGTATTACACGTTTTTATTATCGCGAATTCAAACTTATCTTTTATTGTTGTAATCTTACAGTTTTATTTGGAGTAACAATTCCGTGTACAGTTTACCTATAGTTTCGATGTTCTTTGTGTATTTAGGATGGGCCTTGAAATGAGGCTAGGCAGTATAAATACATACGTTTTCACTTTAACTAAAGATTTACCAACATACAGTTCTATCTGGTAGGAGTAATAATAGATTTAGATCGATTATCGCGCTATCGTGTAGATATATACGGATTTGTATCATTATTTATCATGTATTGGAAGTATCTATTATCAAATGATTATAACTATTATAACTATACCATTTATCATACAGACTCATTACAGGCACTTATGATACGTCATTTTTAAATCGGCGATTATCAAGACGTTTTGTATAGATGACGATCATAGTCCATACATTTATAAAGTTTCAGGATAGTACGTATATCTTACACAAAATATTCTTAAATTAAAATCGATTTTTATTTGTTAAAGAATATAATTTGTTAATGCAAGATATGTACTTTAATAAAACATTTTTAAAAGTCGAAGTGCGGTTGCCAAATTGTCAGTCAAGCGTGGCAACTACTGGCAAAACTCCCCTTATGGGCAGGCTTATGTTCAGCAGTGGACAGTTAAAGGCTGTTTTAATGATTATGATGATGTACTTTACTGTAGCCTATAGATATAATGAGGTCATGAGATATAAGAAATGATCTTTTATGTTAAAGTCCGTGAGAATGTTAATGTTGATATTTTATGAATAATTTTTTTGAAACGAGTTTTGAGAGTTTTCGTAACTGTCATTATTATATAACGTAATAGTTTTTATTAGCGTTTAACTGTACAAACTAATCGACAGTTATTAAATTTGTATAGATTGGTTATTTATTTAAACGAAGGTAATATTCACGAGTTAAGGTTCGTTTATTCAAAATGTACTTTGAAATATGTGTAAGATAATTGCAGATTTGAGTAGTTTTTAATTAAAATATGTTAGTTATTGTTCTAATTGTATTTTGATATTTGATAGTTTTGACTACTTGGATTCTAGATTAAACCTTAAACCTTAAGGGGAAACAGATATCTATTGACACACTTTTCTAAAGGCTTACTTCTTAAAATACCTAATTTGTAAGAGATTGAGAAGTATTTATAGGTTATTCTATAACTTAATAATATATAATAATACATAAGTGAAAAACTTAAATTCTTGCTTCTTAATTTATAGAATCAGGACAGAGAAAAAAAAAACATTATTCCTGTATCTAAGAGTGGAATCAGATTGTGGATTTTAGTGAGCGAAGATACTGCAAAAGCGAACTGCTTTCTTCCAAGAAATCTTGGCAAGACAAGGTAGCTTAGGATTCCAACACTACAAAAATAGTGTTATATTTTTTCAAAAAGGGTGTATTATTATCCTTGCTCTAATCATGTTTATGATCAATGAAAAGCGAACATGCAATTGTGGACTGAGGAATGAATGAAAACTATTGTTTCCCTCAAGATAAGTCTTTTTTTTATAACAATATGATGAATTTATAATGTCGATCATTATACTTCTACCACTCATTTGTATTTCCTTACTGATGAACAAAACCAATGGATGCCCAGTACGCAAGTCCTCATTAGCCACACCAGTTTTCAAGCAAAATTAAACTTAATGACTTTATGGATATTTATAGCTACAGCGTGAACTTTAATAATTTGAAAACATAATTATTGCATTTCAAATGCGGTATTATATAATTATTACGTTTGTGGTTTGGAAGGGTCTTTAATTAAGTTGTTACTGCGGTGAAATTCGTCACATCAAAGACCCGAGAAATACTAATCAGAGGGAGTGCCCATTAATAGATTACTCGTATTGGGTCGTTTCATTACATCGTGCGTTGCTCATTTTGACTTATGTCCTGATGGCGATATGAATCAATAAGTATGAGCACCATTAGATTATTAAAAAAGGATCGTATAAATAAAGACACATTTACTGTTAATATATTAAATGTGAAAGCGAGTTTGTTTGTTTATTACCTTAATTTACCTTAATGGTTTAACCAAAAATTATAAAATTTTGTATACAACATACGTACTATACGGTATGCAGAAGGATGTAGGCTATTTTTTATCTTGGCCAATTAATACATCTCGGTTACGTAGACAAAGTCAAAAGTAAAAGCTAGTACAGAATAGATGTTAAACTTTAGACACGATCTCTTTTTTCGGCTTTTGTCTGTCACTAAATAATAATCATTAAAAATTTTATGTTCGGCTGTTAATGTCACGGAATCATAAATTTTACAGTTGTTTTAAGTTATATCACTTTCTTTTTTAATCTCAAAATATAAAAAAGTTTAAAATAATGTATCTTAAAAAACTAAATTTAATGTGCAGGTTGTCTTTTGACGTAGTATAATAGGGTTGAAATAGAAATAATATCGAATAAGCATCAAATTGTATACTAATAACATTTGACATCCATTCCAAGCATAGATTGAGTAACTGCAGTTCAATATTCCATGTGATTACGACTTGAACATAAAGCTTATTTACAGGAAACCGATCTTATATTCTTTTCTATATTAATATTATAAAAAAGGAACATTTGATTGTTTGTCTGCGTGTAATACTCAAAAAGTACTCAACCGAGTTTAAAATTTCCTTCAACTACAGTAAGCTACATTATTAGGTACTAACATAGGGTGTAAAATAATTTTAGAAACTCGTGAGAAGCCGGGTCGGATCGCTAGTGGTATATACTGTAATGTTTGACAAGTTTGTCTTAAATAATATACTAATAAATTCAATTGAAGCTTTTTTTGAACCAATTTGAACTTCTTAATACGACTACAGAACCCTGTTACATTGTAATTCATACGCCCAAATGACTTTTCTTCTACAGTCAGTAAAGGACCAGAAAAATAGAAGCCACTTTTGCTAGTATTCTCGTGCATTTTTTGATGACTCCTTGTGTTCATTCAGTTATATTAATTGGCTTTAAAGTTCTCAACGCAAGTAATTACAATTACTGAGCAATAAGATGAGAAGAGATCGTGGTTTATGATTTCCAGTGACAGTAAAAGAGCAAAACTAATTAAATTCAATCTTTGTGTTTTAGCAATTGTTTTTTAAGTACTGATTTAGTATTTGTATCTTGATTATGCTTTATAACTGAGCTACAAAAGAGGGAAAGGGATTGTTAGTAATGGAGACTGAGAATCCCATTGCTAGCAATATATCCAACTAGGTCGACCTCCTCACGGTTCTCCCTGGAAACTATCATGGCTAATTCCTGATGAATTCATCATGATGGGCTAACTGGCCTGTTTTCATTCTCATCTATCACCTTTCACTGGTACTCCGCCAGCGTATTCCGTCAGCGCAGGCGGGGTAACTATACCATTTTCACCCAACAAAACAAAAAAAAAACTGTGCTACAAAATATATATAATGTTTTTCAACAGCTGTAGCTTCTGAATTAGTTAAACGCCGCTTTGTAGCGGGACTCTATCATCACTCTATCACGGGACATTATCACAGAAACAAATTAGAAATGCCGAAGACATGATAAGATAAAGAAGTAATAGATTACAGTACACTGTTTTGAATACATTTTCTGAAGTTGTAATTCTTTTTGTTTTAAATAAAAGAACACGGATTTTGTATTATCTATGGAGTAGTCTATGGGATCCAGTAAATCAATAATCTTTTTTAGTGTAATAAATATAATACATTTCACTGTTATAATTCATTTTACTTGGAGCATATAAATTACGTAGTTTGAGTTTTAGATTCATCTAAGTAAACTAAGATCTCACTAAGGTGCATGTTAAAATAGAATACCTAATAATTAAGTCATGTAATGACCTCAGTGTTGGCACAATTCTTCTTCTATTTACAAACTTGGTATGATAAAGCTTTAATATCAGCATCTTGAGTATTGCAAGAGCGACTTATTTTATAAATATTTTAAAATTTACAAAATAGGTGCATGAATTCTAATTTATTTATATAAGAATTTGATTTTAAGTAGGTCGATCTTCGTATACACTTTTTTAATATTATATTAAATATTTTCATATAGTGGCTCGGTAAAATAATTTATTCTAGATTATCTTTCTGCGTAGTGAAAGTTGAATCAATTTCACATTAAGACTGTCTCCTGAGATAAGTTTGCATTCATATAATATATTATACGTAAAACCAATTATATTTCATGTTAACGACTACATTAAAAGTATCGAAGTTCCGTGGAGATCGCAAACTGTGATATAATGCTAGCAAACATCACTTATATAAGATATTCTGAGGACATTTAAAAGCTGTATATAAGCAAGAGAGAAGCCATGACTACGATACTTTACTATACTACCATAATAATTATAAGATAATAAGCATTTTAAAAATAAATCAATCAACGTACTCTTTTTAAGTATCAATCTACAATTTAAAGCCAAAAATATATAAGCATTGACGAGAACATAAATCGACAAAAAGGGCAGTTTTATTTTAGAATCTATAGACTTAACGCCCAATAGAAAAGTGGTAGGGCTTTCTATTCTAGTTAAGTGCAGATCGTGAAGTGATCTCACCAAACCGGTTGACCCTTCATGCCGGCAGTCCGTTCAAGCGAGAGCGAGAGCAGCGCACGCAAGTGCATCGCACCCTCTCAGCTACGCGCTTCGATAAACGCATACCATTTGTTATTGCAGCAAATTTCACCGGTGGTCATTTTCTGGAGTCAAGCACAGCACATGTTCCAAATACAAATATAACACCAAACGTCTAGTCGAGTTAGTACACTTCACGGCACGTTCCATCCGCGTCGCTACTCGCGAACGACTAACCGAGTAACCGAGCCAAAGAGCTCTACCCATCTCGCCACGGAAAAATAAACGGGATGGTGCGCAGTGTGGATACAGCTTAAATAAACAAGCGGCGATACAGTTGATGCTCTACTACTGAGACAATAAAGTTGATGTTACATATTTGCTGGGTGATACTTAAGCCGATTCGGAATGTTGTGTTGTGAATGATTGTTGGCTACAGCCCGCTATATGCAATGGAAAAGAAAGTAGGCGCATTTCCCCGAGTTGGATGCTGTAAGCTGCGGTTGCCTATTCGAAATGCGGTCAGTGTCGCTAGTAATTCTAGATTTAATGGCTATTGTGCCAGTGTAGAACTCGGCCGGGTTCCATCGATTTTAGGGCTACGTCTAAGTAATTTATGTACATTCAACACGATAGTTTATATAGTGAGATCTGAGCCATTAATCAGATTAACAGTGAACCCGGTAAACCTATTAAGTACTTGCTTGAGTTATAGTAGTGGCGATTTGTAGCATTTCGTCCTACTTCTTGCGGTTATTAATTACTTTTGCTTTTGGATAACGTACCTGTAAACGAAATAAAAAAAAATCTTTATTAAACAGTAATATAAAAGTTGTAACTATGGCGTATTATAAAAATACCATCATTATCATTATTTCAGCTATTATCTGTTCACTGTTGAACATAGGCCTCCCCTAACACTGCTATATAAAACAATCCTGAGTAACCTGCCACCACTGAATTTGAGGTCGTCACTCCATCTAGTGGAGGATCATCCTACACTGCGTTTGCCCGTATGGGGTCGCCATTCAAGAACCTTTTTTCCCAACAACATAATATGTAGTTACTAATTAGTAGCTATTATTAAATATAGTAGTGCTTTTTTAAGTAGAGCTATACAGTACCTTCAAACCGGGTGTCTAATGTTAGAGTCGGTAGGTACTAGTGACGCTTATACGATCTTCGAACAAAGCTTTCCACAAAATATTGTTTATAATAATTTTACCAGTATTATAATAATTTAATATTGTTTACAAAAAATAAAATAAATCAATAACATTGTAATGCAATTACCCTTCACTTAAATCAATAATTAAAATCGGTGCATAATTGACGAAGATAAAGTGAAATATGTCCATGTATTGTTTATGTCTATAGGCGACAGTTATCATTTTTATCAGGTGGGCCGTTAGCTTGATTGCTTGCAATTCTAAATAAAAAAAAAAATGTCGATAAAAACTACGTGTATATAAAATTTTACGACGAATGGTCGAGGTGAGATGTGGTCGTTAAGGCGCTAAGAGGTAACAAACAAACTCACTTTCACATTTATAATATTAACTAGTCAAGATAAGTTATGACTAAGGATAATTAAATTATGAAATAACTTCTTTACTGTTACATAATAATTTGGTAAACAAGAGCCATTGTTATGCATATTACGTTTTAAACTATCTATTGGTATTAAGCGTGAATCATTATTATGATTTCTAGTGAAAAATACAAAGACGAGAGCGTCCTTAACACATTATAGGTTAATTAAATAACCATAAGGTAAGGTGTACCGCCGTGTAGGTTTTTTTTAATGGTTGAAAATGGAAAGGTTACCCCGCCTGCGGCATCGATATACACCGACGGACACCAGTGGAAGATGATATGTGAGAATGAATGCAGGCCAATTGGCCCACCATGTTGAATTCGACAAGAATTAACCACGATGGTTTCCAAGGGGAGTCGCGTGGAAGTCGACCAGAGAGAGTATATTTTTTTAATGGGTGAAAATGGAAAACGCCTGCGCCATCGATATACACCGACGGGCACCAGTGGAAGATGATAGGTGACGGTGAAAGCAGGTCAGTTAGCCCACCATGATGAATTCGACAAGAATTAACCAGGATGGTTTCCAAGGGGAATCGCGTGGAGGTCGACCTGAGAGGGTATATAGGTAGCAATGGTGTCATTAGACTTAATTACTAACAATCCCTTTTCCCCCTAAGAGGGAGTCAATTGCTAGCAATGGGGCTATTAGACCTCATATATACCTTATACCACCGTGTAGGTCCTGGTATAGAATAGGCTACCCCTTCCTTTCCCATGGGTGACGTAAGAGGCGGCTAAGAGAAGCTTATAGTGGAGGGATGGGCAGCAGCGTCTCGAAATATCATCAAAACTTAACTGCGGTTGGCAACCCGCTTGCCAAGCGTGGCATTTAGTGGCAAAAACCCCTTATGGGGGAGGCTATATTCAGCAGTGGTCAGTTAAGGGCTGATACAAGGTAAAGTTAAAACGTATTATAATATAAATATTTTAAGGTATCTAACCTCAGTTTGTACTAAAATAATTTCAATACACAACATACTTTACGATAGATAATAAATACCTACTGTAAAAGACGTCATGTTTGCGAGGTCTTTTAGAAAATAAAAAAAACTATACCTTTATAATACTCAGAATAGTAAGTTTTTTTATGAGTGAAATTAGAATTGTGACCTCGCTTGTCCTATCGGTATACATTGGCAGGGCACCAGTAAGGGAAGGGTGAGTATGAAAATAGGTCAGTTAGCTTATCGTGACGAATTCAACAAGAATTAAGCGGGGAGAAAGGGATTATTAGTAATGGAGACTGAGGATCCCATTGCTAGCAATATACCCAACCAGGTCGACCTCCTCGCGGTTCCCCCTGGAAACTATCATGGTTAATTCCTGATGAATTCATCATGATGGGCTAACCGGCCTGTTTTCATTCTCATCTATCACCCTTCACTGGTGCTCCGCCAGCGTATCTCGTTAGCACAGGTGGGGTTACCATACCATTTTCACCCATAAAACAATAACAAGAATTAAGTAAGATGGTTTCCCGAGGGAATCGAGTAGAGGTCGACCTGACAGGGTATACTGCTAGCAAAGGGGCTATTAAGGGGGGAGGGATTGTAAGTAATGGAGTCTAATGGTCCCATTACTAGTAATATTCCCTATCAGGTCGTATCCACGCGGCCCCCCTGGTAACAATTGTGATTAAGTTTTATTAAATTCCTCACAATGGGGCAACTGACCTTTTATCTGCACCTATCATCCCTCATTGGTACAGCAAATGTGGGGTTACCATGCTATTTTCATCCATAAAAAAAAAATAAAACAAGGGGCTGTTAGATCCACATTACTAACAGTCCCTTCCCGCCTAGTAAATAAGTTATACCTTATGTAATGAAAAGTGTTAATGATCGTCTATAGACATGAACATAACAGAATATCCTGACTTGCATCGTACTCATCTGATGCGTACGTATTTGAGGACTAATGTTTTACGCTTCTATATCCTATAATTCTATTATAATATCCCTTTCGAATTGAAACGTAGATAAATTGTTATCTTTTTCATTATTTGACATCAGATACTTTTTTTTTTTCATTTATTAGACTATGGGCAGAAACTATCAGCTAAAAATTACAAGTGTTAAAAATTTTGTAGGTATATTTATCGTTGAACTATTTATACTAGAATATTTTAAAGTAGTTACAATTACAAAGCGACAGAAATACATGTAAAATCGAATACAGATAATAGTCACTCGTGCAGATAATGGCGGGAAGGTTCAGAGTCTTTGCAATTTTGTCTGTGGTCTTTATCTATTACTATGAGGAAGTACCTATCTCATACTTGTACTATAACATATTTATTTAATTTGACGAGTGTGAGAGCACGACACGCGATGTTTATATGTAACACATGGCCGTGGGTGCAATAGGTCGGATAAGCATGTGTACACTCTGATCTTTATATTGAAAGAGTGGCGTATTTATACATATACCCGAGACTTCGTCCGAGTAATGTTGATTAAGCGAGATAAAAGTTTATGCTTTTCTCCATTTTGTACGTGTAATTAATAACGATTGGTTTAGTCGTTAAGCTGCCAAGAAGTAATAAATAAACTGGGAAAATTATATGTGATTAGGAATAGATTATTAGGGAGAATATGATAATGTATGATAATAGAAAAACAAACTATATATATATATATATATATATATATATATATATATATATATATATATATATATATATATATATAATAAATGTCCTTATGAGGTGAAGAGAGAACCGAATGTCTAGTCCAAATGTCTCTCAAATACATGCAAGGTTAACTGGAAGATATATCTAGTTTTCTAAATTAGTATTATTGCTCCACTTTTTTAACTACAATATATATTTTTTTTGTATAAATTAATTTTTTCTCTATATGTTGTACAATAAATTAGCATATCCCTGCATTTTTCTCAAAAAAATTTATGCGTTATTAAATGGTGCAAATATATTTGGGTGGTGGTATTATATTCTTATTGTATAAATAAGGAATAAAAGGCAACCGAAAATTCAGAAGAATAAGAAGCTACTCTGAATAAAATCGTTCAGAAGAGAAAATGAGGAAACTTATCTACTGTCAAGTTTTCAAACACAAAACAACAATAGGTTGAGAAATATCAAGTAAACGAATTTAACTTTTCGTCTTTCGATTTCCTTCGTGTTTATATTATTGAAGCAATGCAGACAAATTGTCACAGAGTATAAATATGTGTATTAAGATTTTTAGTTCATTCACTTATTTATTTATTCTATGTAGATATATGTAATGGATGTACAAAGTAAACAATACTAACAATAATGTCTTCTAATCAAGTAATATAACTTCTCTATTTCTAAGTAATATTATCTCGCATTATTAATATTATAAAGGATAGGGTTTATTAAGATATTTGGATCTTTGTTATGCAGACTGAGTGAATAAATACCTCTTATCTATATTATATATAAAAAATCTTAGATTAATAAATAGAATATTTTTTAAACTAATTTTATCTTATGCACATAGAGTCGCAGATTACAATAGTTATAGTTGGGCACTAATTTATAGATCAGAATGAACTTTTAACGAAGGTACAAATGAACAAATACTCGCCAAGTACGAGTCAGATTAGGATATTGAAAGTACCGTATAAATTATTATTAAAATAAATTGTAATGTAATTCATAACTACCTTCAAA